CTTAAGAACTTTGTTTTGTTACAGAGTGTGTCTTTTGTCCCAGAGCAAGCACATTTCAACCATTAATAATAGAGGCTAGGGGAATAGTGACTTTTAGCAAAATGGAGTTGCTTTGGTCTCACATTCCCCCCTTCTCATGATGCTATAGAGGACCAATCATGGGCCTCTGGGGGTTAATTCTATCACGTCTGTTGGGACTGGCTGGTATTGGGACCTGAGTACCATCAGCTGTACAGTGTTAATGCGTTCTCTGATGAACGAGACCAATCTATTAAGTATATAAGGTCCAAGGGTTAATAATAGTAACAGAATAAGCAAGGGGCCCAGCAGAGTAGAGATCAGAGTAGTCAGCCATGGGGAGGAATTAAACCAGGATTCAAACCAATTTTGAGCTTGTTCTCATTCTCGCTTTCGTTTAGCAATGCCTTCTCTAACTAACTTTGGCCATAGATTCTTTGACCACTCCTGAGTGGTCTATATAAAAACAACATTCTTCACCCAAGGCAACACAGAGCCCTCCTTGTTGTAGAAAGATTAAATCTAGCCCCCTTTGATTTTGGAGGACCACCTCTGCCAGGGAGGTTAGGGACTCTTATAGGTGGGAGATGGAACTCTCTAGTCTCTCAATATCTATATCTATGGCCGCTCTCAGGTCATTATAATGTCTGTTTTGTAACACTAGCGATGAAATTCCTGTTCCTGCCCCAGCTAGTCCCAAACCTAGGAGAACTGTCAGCGTGATGGCTGTTACAGGTTCTCGTTTAACCCTGGCTGGGGTCTCAGTCAAGCAACTGGAAATGTCTTTTTCTGAGTGATATAATAGCCTATGGACCAATTGTACTAATACACAGAAGTCTCCAGTTCCATTGAGCACTTCTCCATGTGCACAAGGGGTGAGCCCGGTGGAGCAAGCCCACCATCCATAAGAAGGGGGTACAAGATATTTTTTTGACCTAGACTGATAGGTTTGACCACAAAGGTATTGGTGGGTGGTTGGGACACTGCTGACACAAGTTCCCTGTCCAGTTACTGATTGTAGGGTCAGCCTAGCTGTTTCCTTTTGTTGCCATCTACACTGGGTTGGACTGTCTGATTCAGTGAAATTGTCTAGATAAGCTATTGCCGCATAATAAGGGGGCTTGATATCATAACATAACCAGCAAGACTGAGTAAGATCTGGTCTAGAGGCATTTAGGGTCTTAAAGGTGTGGACCATCAGTCCCCAGAGGGGGTCTTGGTCTTGGCCACGGTTGACTTTTTTGGCCTGGGTGACAATTTAAGCAGGGGGTGGAGACATGGGTGTGGAGGCCGGATTTGGTGTCTGTATGGGGGCAGTTTCTCCTGGGGGCATGGGCGAGGTTTTCTGAGGAGGGGACTTTGTGGCTCTAGGAGGAGCTAAGGGGACTAGCGCCAAATTTGGCCCAATTGGCTGGGGAGGTCCTACAACATGTGGCTCTATTTTTAATCTTACAGTGAATAGTAACCCATTGTCATGACCATTTTGATATAGGCGGAGCCCCCATGTCTGGCCTGTTTCCCATCTGGTGTACTTTTTAACCTTGGTCCATAAATGAAAGTCTAACTGGGTTACAAAGGTATCCTGTGCATGGGCCGCTAAGCATGACTTTACCATTATGGAGGCTCGTTTGGAGGCCGGTGGGTCCGGGGACTCTTTTTAAGGAAATTAAATCATCTGTGACAGGCGGAGCCCATGAGACGGAACCCGTGGACTCACATCTCCATTTTGCACAATAGAATTCTTCAGCTCCCCCACATTTTTCTGTTTGAGACTGCGAATGTCTCTCTCCCGGGGAAACATAGAAAGGGGTATTTCACAAAACATTTCTTTCTATGGGTCGGCCACACCTGGGGTCAAGTCCTCTTGGGGCCACAGGTAGGGACACCCAAGGGAGGGTGGGACTATTGCATTGATTGATGTCTTTTTCACATATGGGCTCTCCCCCGGGCCCAATTTTCCAGTCTCTGATGGGCCAAGTCCCTACAGCAAGTTGACACAGATCTAAGTCTAGGGCGGGCCACAAAGACAGTGGTGGTGTCACTTTAGATGTACTATTAACAATATCACCCGTGGATGTACTAATAATCATCCACTTTAGATTTAGGGGAGCATGTGGGTTTTGTCCCCCCAACACTGGTGTTAAGAGTACAGTTACCACAATCATGACCGTCGATGATGTAGCTTGAGCTTGAGAGGATTGTCATGGTCCTTGGACACTTGCCATGATGGGATGTAGTCCTCTAATATGGCGTGTGGATCCACGGGGCGGACGTGAGTGTAGTGTACCCACGAGGTGATCTCGTTGAACTTGAGAGCGGTGGGCATGGTCAGGACAGTAACATAGGGTCCTTTCCAACGAAGCTCAAAGTCCTTCTGTCGATGTCTCCAGACAAAGACCCAGTCTCCTGGTCGGTAGCGATGGGGCTCAGGAGGTGGTCCAGACTCATATAGGGCCTTCAATTTAGGCCAGACATCCTCACAAACACATTGGAGGCTTTTTAAAGAAAGTAACAGTTTTTGATCATCAAATTCAACAAGGACATTTGACTGAAGGTTGGGGACAATGGGAGGGGGAATTCCAAACATTATTTCAAAGGGAGTCAGTCCCATCTTATAGGGAGAATTGTGTACCCTATAGAGGGCAAAGGGAAGGAGAGCCACCCAGTCACTGCCAGTCTCTAAGGTTAATTTAGTTAAGGTCTCTTTTAAAGTTCTATTCATTCTCTCTACCTGTCCTGAATTTTGGGGTCTGTATGCGCAATGCAATTTCCAATCTGCCCCCAATGCCTATGCTAAATTTTGACTCACCTTGGAAATGAAAGCGGGTCCATTGTCTGACCCTAACATTACGGGGAAACCATACCTTGGCAAGATGTCTTCTAGCAACTTCTTGGCCACTATCTGTGCTGTCTCATGTTTGGTAGGAAAAGCTTCTGTCCATCCTGAAAAAGTGTCTACAAAAACTAGCAGGTATTTATAACCATATTTTCCAGGTTTTACCTCAGTAAAGTCCAATTCCCAGTATGTTCCAGGTTGGTTCCCTCTTAGCCTATTGCCTGGGTTGGCTTTATTGTGGGCAGCATTTGTCAGTTGACAGGATTTGCAAGTGGCAACGATATGCTCAATTTTGGAATTGGCGTCTCGAATCTTTATCTCAGCATGTCTCAGGAGATCTTGCATTTTTCGAGTGCCCATATGGGTGGCCCGATGTATTTTGGAGAGAACTTGTTCTCCAAGCACTTCAGGCAGGATAACTTTACAATCAGAGGACTTCCACCACCCGTTGAGGTGCTGGGGAATAGGTAATTGTTCTATCCACCTGAAATCTTCTTCAGTATACTGGGTTTTTTTTGGCAAGGCAGCACTTCCTGGATCAGGCAGCTGAGTGGTTAGCATCAGATCAGCCTCTAGGGCTATTTTTTGAGCTGTCTGGTCAGCTAAATTTTTTTTTTGGCAATCGGAGTATTTTTTTTTGGTTTCTGGGACAGTGGACAATAGCCAATTTCTTTGGCAGCCATAGGGCCATCAGCAGGGCAAGAATTTCCTCTTTGTTTTTGATAGTTTTTCCCTCAGCCATCAATAGTCCTCTCTCTCTGTAGATAACCCCATGGATGTGCTCAGTGGCAAAGGCATACCGGCTGTCTGTATATATGTTTAGCTTTTGGCCTTGCCCCAGAGTCAACACTTTGGTCAGAGCTATGAGCTCTGGCCATTGGGCTGAGGTCCCGGTGGGCAATGGTTCTGCCCAAATGACCTTAGTTTCTGTCACCACAGCTGCCCCGGCATACCTGCAGCCATCCTGTACAAAGCTGCTTCCATCAGTATACCAGGTGTTTTCAGCATCTGGCCACAGTTGGTCTCTCAGGTCAGCTCGAGTCACATGTACCTGAGCTAGGATGTCAGCACAGTCGTGGAGCGGAGTCTCTAAGTCCGGGTCTGGCAACAGTGTAGCTGGATTTAAGGCAGCCGGGGTCTGAAAGACAACTTGGGCTGGGTTTAGGAGTAAGCCCTGGTAGTGGGTCAGGTGGGCATTACTGAGCCATCGATCTGGAGGTTGTTTTAGGACTCCTTCAATAGCATGGGGGGTGGTTACATATAGTTCTTGGCCCAGTGTCAACTTGTCAGCATCTTTTACCATCAGGGCCACTGCCACAATCATTCTCAAACATGGGGGCCACCCGGATGCAACTGGATCAAGTTTTTTTGATAGGTATGCCACTGGGCGGCGCCATGGCCCTAGGTATTGAACTAACACTCCTTTGGCCATGCCTTTGTTCTCATCAACATATAGGTGAAAGGGCTTGGTTATATTGGGCAGGCCCAGAGCAGGTGCCGACAGCAAGGTAGTCTTTATCTGATCAAATGATTTTTGTAGTTTTTCAGTCCATTGGAAAGTATGATTGTCTTTAGTTACCTCATAAAGGGGCTTTGCAAGTTCTGCGAACCCCAGTATCCACAAGCGGCAGAAGCCAGCTGATCCCAAAAATTCTCTAACTTTTCGAGAGGAATCTGGTGTGGGTATTTTAAGAACTGTCTCTTTTCTGGTGTCAGCCATCTCTGTCCCTTTTTAAGTATATAACCCAAATAGCTCACCTCAGACTTGTAGGTCTGGGCCTTTTTGGCTGACGCCCAGTACCCCAACTTTCCGATGGTGGCTAGGAGCCTTTTGCTTCCGTCAAAGCAGACCTTTTGGGTTTCAGCTGCTATGAGGAGATCATCTACATATTGTAACAGAGTCATTTGAGGGTTTTGGAGGCAGAACTCACCCAGGTCTTCATGCAGGGCCTCGTTGAAGATGGTGGGAGAATTTTTGAACCCCTGAGGCAGCCAAGTCCAGGTCAGCTGTCCATTGAGGCCTTGTTCAGGATAGCTCCATTCAAAGGTGAAAATGTGCTGGCTTTGGGGCACCAACGGAAGGCTGAAGAAGGCATCTTTCAGGTCTAGGACTGTATACCATTGACGACTCGGTGGCAGGAAACTTAAAAGGGTATAAGGGTTAGGTACTATGGGGTGAATGTCCATAGCTCTCTTATTTACTTCATGGAGGTCCTGCACTGGTCGGTAGTCATTTCAGTGTGGCTTCTGCACCGGTAACAAGGGGGTATTCCAGGCCGATTGACAAGGCCTTAATATCCCTTGTGCTAGTAACCTTCTAATGTGCGGGGTTATTCCCTGTCGGGCTTCTAGGGACATAGGATACTGGCAAACACAGACAGAGTCTGTTCCTGGCTTTAATTCTATATATATAGGTGGTCTGTGTACAGCCAGTCCCATGCCCCCAGTTTCAGCCCAGGCTTGTGGGAACATTGCAAGCCTCTTGTCCGTCTCAGAGCTTGGAGGAGATGGCTCTTGGTGTAACCGATATTCATCTTCTATGTTTACAGTTAATACTTGAATCGGTTTGCCTTCTTGATTAAGGACTTTTGTACCCCCTGGTTGAAAGTGAATTTGGGCTCCCAATTTGGTGAGCAAGTCTCTTCCCAGTAAAGGATAGGGGCAGTCTGGTATAATCATAAATGAGTGGGTTACTCAGCCTACTCCCAAATCTACCATTCTCTGGGTAGCCCATGAATATTTTTTCATGACTATGGCTCCTTGGACCCAGGAAGTTTTATCAGAAACATGGCCATGAGGTTCAAGCAGGACAGAATGTTGAGCTCCTGTATCCACTAGGAACTCGATAGGTCTCCCCTCCACTTTTAGGGTTACCCTGGGCTTGGGGAGGGGTGCCAATCCCCTTCCCTCCATAGTCACTAAGTTCATCTACAGCCAGGATGGGGGCCTTGGGGCAACTTTCCTGTTGTTTTTTCTTGGGGCACTCCTTGGCCCAGTGGCCTTCTTCTTTGCAATAAGCACATTGATTTTTTTCCTAACTGGGGGCTCTCCCTGCATTTTCCCTTATCTTCTCCTCCCACCGCAATCTTTCTCAGTCTATGTTCACATTCCTTTGGTTCTCCTGCTGTGGCAGCCAGAAGGATCCAAGCCACGTTTTGGGTCTGGCAGTCATCAGCTTTCTCTCATTTCTCCTCTGCAGTTTCTCTATTGTTATACACTCTCTCTGCCACTGTCACTAGGTCCTCAATACTTTTCTCTCCCATTCTTTCTACTTTCTGTAACTTTCTCTTAATATCTGGTGCTGCCTGGTTGACAAAATGTATTATTACAGCTGCCTTTGTCTCATTCACCTCTGGGTCCATAGGAGTATACCTACAGAAGGCTTCCTGAATTCTTTCTAGGAAGGCTGCGGGGCTTTCGTTCGGCCCTTGCTGTACATCCCCTACCTTAGCCAAATTGGTGGGCTTCCAAGCCACTGCTTTGAGACCCCCCGACAGAGCCTGGCGATAGACCCAGAGTCTCTCCTTACCTTCAGCTGTATTGAAGTCCCAGTCATGCTGGGACAAAGGAAAAGAAGTGTTGATAGTGTCAACATTGGTGGTGGGTTGACCATTGTCACCAGGAACCAATTTTCTGGCCTCATTCTGGATCCTTTCTCGCTCCTCTGTGGTGAACAGGATCTGGAGAAGTTGCTGACAGTCATCCCAAGTGGGCTGATGGGTGAACAAAACAGTTTCTAATAGGTTAATCAAATTTCTAGGGTTATCAGAGAATTTGACGTGTTGAGGGTGTCAGTTTTAAAGGTAACTGGTGGTGAAGGGCCAGTAGTGATGAGGCCCTATTGCTCTCAAGGGGAGAACAGTAGAATCTGCAGGTCCTGCCGGTGAGTCAGCACATCGGTGGCGAGTGTTCTGGGTGGGGCCATCCCCTCCTCCGACACTCGGAACCGGAGCAGCACCTCCCTCTCCAACCCCGGCTGGGGCCGGGGTTTCTCTTTCTGCCTGTTGTCTGGGCAGGGGGAAGAGAGAGAGTTGTAAGAAGGGGGGAAAATAAGATCTTCTTCGGCCTCTCCTTGGAGGACCGGTAAAGTGGCATGGTCGGCTTGGTTTCGGTCTGTTTTTTCTCATCGTGCTCTCTGGGAGTCTTTTCACAGGCTGTCAGGATTACTTTCGGCTGCTGTTTCTGTGGAGGCAAAAAGGGCTTGACCCATGGGGGTGGGTTATGGATTAGACTCTCCCAAGTGATAATGTAGGGAACCTGGTCAGGATGTAAGACAGCTCTATGGACCCTGTGTGCAACCTGTAAATCAAAAGTTCCCTCAGGGGGCTATCCTACCCCAAGGGTGGGCCACTCCGAGCTACAGAGGGTAATGAATTTAGTCTTTTTAATTACTAAGCTTAGGTTATGAGCACGCTCCCTAACTTTTTAAAAATGGTCCTTCATAAGGGATAGAGGGGTGGTCACAGTCTGTCCCATCGTCTCAGTCCAAGTCAACACAATAAACAGACAAACAATACACAACAAAAAGCAAAAAGCAAGACAAAACTTTCCTCCGCCCGATCGGAGACAGCACTGGAAGTGAGATGACGGCCTCACGCCGTACCGCGGGAGTGACCCGCATCGTCCCTCCATGAGTCCCAGCGACTCATGCTCATGGGGCACTCTGTCTCCATTAGGCACTCCGTCACCACCAGAAGGATCCAGAACGTCTTCCAGGATCCCGGATCGGCAGCCCTCGCAGTGCATCCACCTAGACTATCTGCCAAATTTCCCAGAAAAAAAAATGGGCCCAGACTTTACAGACACAAAAACACTCACCTGCCAGCATCGACCCTCCAGTACGGGGATCCTGAGGGTCTTGGGGATCCCAGACGAGCCCCCAAATGTTGTGCCCAGATTGCGAAGTCCCCAAAGACCACCAGGAAGCCGTTTCCGATGCAAGCACATGAGGGTCGTTTATTCAAGCTCGAGCAGGGGCTCCCAACCATCACTGATGCAGCGGATCAGAATTGAGAGCCCCGAGTTTCAAATTAGCGGGGTTTTTGTTGAAGTTACAGCAAGGTTTGGGGATTTTCCATTTAGCAGTTACATGATTGGTTGGCATTTAGCAAACATGAAGTATATACTTCTGATTGGCTCGGCTCATTGGAGGTTGGGGGGGGTGGTTACGTATAGGTTTTATGAGGGAAAAGAGGGACAAAGGTTAGTGGCTAACTGTCAAGTACTGGCAGTCAGTAGACACAATGGCTAATGGTCATGACCATTATGTACTGCTGGTTGGCACATTGACAGATTGTTTTGCAGATAGGGTGCCCAGAACGTTTACTTCCTGGGCAAAACAGATGGTCGAGCAATTAACTTAAGAACTTTGTTTTGTTACAGAGTGTGTCTTTTGTCCCAGAGCAAGCACATTTC